TCACATTTAAGATTAGAGATCAGACACTAGGGTGAAATTAAATTCACTTATCTGCCTTTCCAGCCGGTAAGATATTGCTCTGATCCTACCTAAATTACCCTGAACACAATTCAAGTTTACATCCTTGAATGAAAGAGCTCGAAGAATCTTCTTTTAAAGTGAATCCTCTATTCTGTGAGTGCCCATGCAGGGCACAGAGCAATAGGAAGTCCCTTACTGTGCTGGCCTCTGAGCTGAAGTCTAGTGATGCTTTCCTGCCTCTAAAACACGGGGGATAGGTGTGTACCAGGTCAGATTTACTGAACGCAAGCAAGGTCACCACAATAGTAAGTACTTGATGGGAGGCAGATAGGTAGATAATGGCATCTATTTTCTCAGGGGCTACTGGATTGGGTAGTTAGAACTTGTTTTTATGAAAAATTATTTTCTGTTTTGGGGCTTGCCCCGACGGCTCTCTGACGGTTTAGCCAGCTTCTTCCCTTTCACCGACACACGCAATCACTACTTCATCATTTCAGCAGCAGAGAAGGGACACTTTGATGAAGAGAACACAAAATAGTTGACATATTTCGGGTATATACTATAATTTCTCCCATTTAGTCGGCCAGAAATTCAGTCTGTGCCCAATTGACACCCTTCCCCCAACCCATTCCATTCAGGAGGACTGCAAAAGAATGTCAGGTTTTTCTGTTCTCTGGTTCTCCACTTCTTTCCTTCACAGGAGGAATTAAATCCAAGTCAAAACTGAATGGGAGGTGCAAAGGAATCTACATCCTTGTGGAAGATAAGACAGCCCTTCAGAACAGGCAGGCAAAAGTGGCCCAGAAACCGAGCTGCACACCAAACTGCCTATGTGGATTATTTCCTATCTTTGATACTTTTATGCAGAAGAATTTTTATGTTTTTCTCCTGGCCCTCCCCTGTGACACTCCATGCCCTCTAAAGATGGGGCCTGAACTTCCTGTGTATCCTTTTTCTCCTCCCATTGAACAAAAAAGGACATGTAAGTGTTTGATAAATAATGAAAAGTAACTGACAAATCATTTTGCTGTTCTGTTGACTGACTATATCAACAGAGGAAGAAATAAGGTAATTTCCAATCCATGTATCAACTGTATATCCAGGCACCTCTTCAAGCTTCTCTTTTCTGTGTGTCTTGGTAACCCTTTGAAGGTAAGAAAACGTTCTTTGCAAAGACTCTCCCTCTTTACAAATGTCCCTTTTCTTCCATGTGATAATCAAGCAACAGATGCAATGCATCTCTACTGTTTTTTTTTTTGTTTTGTTTTGTTTTGTTTTTTTTAAAGACAGAGTCTTGCTGTGTCACCAGGTGCCAGGCTGGAGTGCAATGGCACGATCTCGGCTCACTGCAACCTCCGCCTCCTGGGTTCAAGCAATTCTCCTGCCTCAGCCTCCTGAGTAGCTGGGACTACAGGCACGTGCCACCACGCCCAGCTAATTTTTGTCTTTTTAGTAGAGACGGGGTTTCACCATGTTGGCCAGGACAGTCTCGATCTCTTGACCTTGTGATCCACCTGCCTTGGTGTCCCGAAGTGCTGGGATTACAGGCTGAGCCACCGTGCCTGGCCGCATCTTTACTTTTTATTCCCTACAACTCCTTAAATAGCCTACACTTAGCAGAAGAACCCTGCCATTTAAAGCAATGGTTCTAGCATCCTTTTGTTTTTTTTTTTTTTTTTTCAGCAATAGTTTACATACAATAATAATTTATTCAGAAATGTTCCTTTAGTTTCTGTTGAGACACAATTCATGTCTCATTAATAAAAGAGCAGCCGTCTCACCTCAAATGCCAGAATATACAACAAATTACAGCATAGTAAAAATTCTACCCACTTTTAGATAAAATCTAGTTCAGGTAAAATAGTTTCATTCAATGTTTTAGAGTTACACAGATTTTTGTTTTGTTTTCTGCTGAGCACAAAATAGTGTAAATGATTACACTGTAGCTATGTCTACCCACATCCTGTGACCATACACCTGTTAATCATTACTTCTGAAATGGAACCATTAGTTTCATTCATGCAGTAAAACAAAGTAGCCTGGGTAAACTTGTTTATCGGGACCATATGACTGTGAATTTCACAGCCACATAATTAATTATGATGTTAAATGAACTCACAAGGGCAGAAACTTTTTTTTTTGCATAAATACCAACTTTTCCCTGATTTAAGTTTAGTCAGTTTATAATCTAGAAATGATTGATAACAGTAATATATTGTATTTTCTATCTGTAGTGTTCATTATTTTAAGACAAGTAATTAAAGGAAGTTGGGATGGGATGCTACTTAAATACATGTAAAACATACTGTACAAACATACTTGGCTTTACTAATTTTTTCTTAACCATCAAGAGTGCCTCCTAAAATAAGACCAGTGAAGAAAAGCATACCATCAAATATGGCTTCCAGAACAAAAACCCTCTAAAAATAATCAAACCTATTTACAAAACTTCTCAGCCTTTTAAAGTTTAATTTGAAACAAAGTATCTATATAGCAGTTGTAATTAACATATAATTTTCTTAGTTTCATTCTTCCAGCTCTTTTAAACAGATGTCACAAGGTAAGACTCAGAATGGCGCTTAGGACTTTGGCTTCCACTGGATTCTGCGCTGTCAGCTTCTGAATCTCGCTTCTTCATGTTGTTCTTCACCGGGACTGGGATCTGAGATGGCCTGGGCTCAAGTGTTATCTGTGCTGCTTTTCCTAGGGCTTAGGTTGTAATTAAAAGGAGTCACTCCAGCAGAAGCAGTCCCGCTAGGTGAACTGTGTTGGCTTGAGCTGCTGGTTCTAGCATTCTTTACATACTAATAATTGCTTCTTATTGAAACGATGCAAAATCAGTTCAGTAAGACCTCTATTCAATTTATCTCCCTAGTAAGACAGTCATTTAGGGGTCAGCCTTCCTCTTTCTTTCCTTTTCCTATCTAGAACGTTTATTTCTTTTAAGGTACATACATGGTTTCCAGGTTCAATGGTAATAAAAAAAAAAGAAGTCCAGGTCTCTTGCCAAATACCTATGGGTGGGCTGTCTTAGGGTCAGAGTACAGAAGACAAACTAGACCTTTTGCTTCATAAGGGCAGGGGAAGTGTTGTGGTGTCTTGCTCTGTCACCTGCTGTGTCTGGCCCACAGTAGACACTCAACAATCATTTATTGGTTGAGTAAATAAATGCGAGGAATAAAAAACGAAGTAGTAAATCAAAGCACTACAGAAATTAAGCTGAGGCTACCAGGTCAGTTTTAGGAACAAGAATCAGAATTTTCAGAAGAAGGAAGCACAGGATTGCAGGAGTTGCAGTTACGAGACAAAAAAGAGACTTAAAACGCTTACCTAGATGGATATTTGTGGTGACACCATCTTTTGATTAGATTGCTTCTTGCACAAGAAATATTGAAAAAGAAAACCCTTGGCTAGAAGTTTAATACTAACTGGAGCACTGAGATATACTCTCAGTGGCTGTAATTTATTTCTGGCTTATTTTATGGCAGCACAGTTTACAAACATTATCTACAAGTTGGCCATTAATTTTCTTTATTTTCAGACAGAGAAATTACAATCAGTGAAGTTAAACAGCCTACCTAAGTCAGCGAGCTAAGTTTAGAATCTGGATTCAAATTAGAATTGATTTGAATTGGTTGGTTCTTTCACCTACCCACAATGCATCATACCAAATAAGGAACATGCCCTAAATACCTAGATTAGACATATATGTAGGTTTCTATAATTTTTAATTTAAAAATATTGGGTTTTTTTTTTCATTTGTTTTAGAAACAGGGTATCACTCTGTTGCCATGGTGTGATCAAAGCCTACTGTAGCCTTGAACTCCTGGACTCAAGCGATCCTCCTGCCTCAGTCTGTTCCGTAGCCAAGACTACCAGTGCCTGCCACCATTACCAGCTAATTTTGTTCTCTTTTATTGGTAGAGTTGGAGGTTTCACTATGTTGACCAGGCTCGTACCAAACTCCTGGGCTCAAGCCATCCTCCTACCTTGGCCTTTGAAACTGCTGGGATTACAGTTGTGAGCCACTGGGCCCAGCCTTTAAAAATTTTTAATTGCAGTGAAATACATACAACATAAAGTTTACCCTCACAATCAATTTTTAAGTAGACACTTCAGTAATTTTAACCAGATTCATATTGTATAACAGATCTCTAGAACTTTTTCATCTTGCGAAGATGAAACTCTATACCCATCAAATAACTCATTTCCTCTACCCCTAGTCAACCACCATACTACTGTTTCCATGATTTTCACTACTCTAGATGTCCAATATAAGTGGAGCCATACACTATTTGTCCTTTTGTGACTGTCGTATTTCACTCATCATAATGTCTTCGTGGTTCATCAATGCTGTAACATGATTTCCTCCTTTTCTAAGGGCCAAATAATACTCATTTGTATGTATATAACACATTTTAAAATTCATTCATCTATCCATGAACATTTGGGCTGCTTTTACCTCTTGCCTATTGCTGCTATGAACACGCTTATGCAAATATTTTGAGATCCTGCTTTCAATTATTTTGGACTTATACCCAGAAGTGAGATTGCTGGATCATATGTAGCTCTATTTTTAATTTTTTTTTTTTTTGAGGAAGCTCCACAATGTTTTCCATAGCAGTGACATCTTCCACCGGCAGTCCACAGGGTAGACAGATTTGTTTTTAAATATAATAACTTGCAGTTTTAGTATCAAACTGACTGAATAGCTTAGCTTACAGTGTCTTGGAAATTAAATGCAACAAAAACTCCAGAACTTTTAAAACCAGGTACCATTTAACTGTGAATTAAGTATTTATGGATACAAATGGATGGCCATCCCATTTTAAAAAGAACAAAAGTAGCAGTCATTTTCCAAGAGACCATAACAAATTGAACACAAACAAAACCCATGTTGTCTCAGTGCGAAGGTATTAGGAAAAGGATTCCCACTTCCTGAAAATAAGTAGAAGCAGGTACGTAACTTGCACACTTACCCTGGTTTTGGCATCGATTTTAGCTCCTCGATCAAGCAATAGTTTTACCATATTTGCATTTCCTCTTTTTGATGCAACATGTAAAGGAGTGATGTCATTCTGGGAAGAACAGGAAAAAAAAGTACAGATTTGATATTTTTGGTTTCAACAAAGCATTCCTTTCTAAACTTTCCCCCAACATATTCCCATTTTTCCCCTCTTCTTTTTTAAACATCCTTTATGAACAGTGTGTTTCCTAATACTTCTCTCTGACAGGAATTTTCTTCAGAAGGAAACTTAAAAAAAAAAAAGAATTGTAAGGGAATCTGTGAGGCAGGGTCCAAGTTAATTTATTTCAATCACTTGAGGTGACTCACGAATGAGGTGATGATTGTTTTCTTTTGTTCAAAAATTCTGCATTTTTAAGTCAGTGTATTTTTCTATAAATTTAAGTGATATACACTGACTAGTTAGGGGTTGACTAACAAGTAGCTGATTAAGTCAGTACAGACTGAGTTTAAAGGAGTCATGTGACTTGGAGCCTTTCCCAGGTTCAGTGGGGAGCATCAGGTTGTCAAGGAGAGACGACAGGAACTCAAACTGGAAAATCCGTTACTTCTATACAAAGTCACATGACTTCCCATGCCCACGATGCTTAAATGTGTTTACAGGCCTTTATTAGCAGTCTTATGGAAAACTGTAATTCTTATTTTACAAATATTTGAAGAATAGTCAGATTGTTAGGATAATCTGAAATTCCAGTTGTATTCTCCTTGATTTCAATGGTGGCTACCATAGTTATCCTCGCCAAACATCTTACAGATATTATGATTGTTTCCAGACTGTCAAGGAATTGTATGCATACATTGAAACAAATACCCTCTTTTGATTTTTCTTTTTCTTTCTTTTTAAGCGACAGAGTCTCATATGTTGCTTAGGCTGATCTCAAATTCCTGAGCTCAAACGATCCTCTTGCCTCAGCCTCCCAAGTAGCTGGAACTACAGGCGTGCACCACTATGCTTGGCTTCTTATTCTTGTGTAGCAGCAATATGAGTTTAAGGTCTGTTGTTCACAAGGAATCAATTATATGATAAATAAACTAGGTTCACATGGATCATGTATTTATAGTTTGATAACAGAAACAATATAGTAGCTATCAAGTATGAATCACTTCCTACATGTCAGAGACTATGCTAAATATTATCTCATTGAATTCTCACAATCCCCATAATATCATATATAATCTGAATTACAATCCCCATTTCACACATGCAGAAACATTTGGCAGAACCAGGATTCAACTCTTAAGCACTCACATGCATGATTTTAAAAACACAATAATGAAAAGTTCCAACATACACAAAGTTTGGGCAAAAAACATAATGAACTTCAAGTGCTCCTTACCCTGTTTCAGTAAATATCAACCTTTTGCCAATATTATTTCTTTTATGCTCCCTACTGTTTTTTTTTTTCTTTCTGAAGGAGTTTAAGAAGAAGAGAAAGAAAATTCTTGGCATCATGTTATTTTACCCATAAATATTGCAATTTAATTACCTCTAACAGATAAGGACATCTCAGAAAAAATCATGATACCATTATCATAACTAAGAAAGTAAAAATAATTCCTTTATGGCACCCAAGACACCTTCCATGTTCAAATTCTCCCATTACCTCCAACTATCCCCATTGCTAGTCTGCTCCAATTGGAAGGTCGACATATTGCATTAGGTTGAAAGGTCCTTTAAATCTTAATCTCTGTGCTCCTCTATCACACCTTCCCTTCCCCCTGCCCTGTGTTCATTTATTTATTGAAGAAACTGGGTAATTTACTGTGTAGACTCTTCCACAGTCTGGATTTGACTGACTGAATCCTCATGGGGAATTATTTAACGTGTCAACATGTCCTTTTCTCCCCGTATTTTATGTACATTTTCCTAGTTAAATACTTTTAATTGTAGGATTAGGTTTACAACCTTTCCACAGATGGAAAGGTTGCACATTCTCTTTGCTCACTATTCTGAGATGCTAGAATATAAATCTTCAATGAAAGAAGAAAGAGACCTGAGGAAAACAAATGTCTCTTAGTAATGCTGGTGGAAAGTAAACATGACTAATACTGCTGTTACTCAGGGTGTAGGTAAACTTTTTCTGCAAAAGGCCAGATGGCAGATACATTCTCCTTTGCAGGGCATACAGTCTCTTTCATTTACTGACCTCTGCCATTGTGGCACAAAAGCAGCTACAGCCACATGCAATATGTAAAGAAATGGGAGCAGTTTTGTTCCTAAAACTTTATTTACAAAAACACTTGGTGGGCTGGATGTGGCCTGTGGGCAGTGGTTTGCTGACCCCTGCTCTGCACCTACCAGCTTGCAGCTGCACAGCTTTCAACTGCATGTAACAGGTTGCAAACGAGGAAGTGAAACTACAGGCTGTGCCTTTTGCGCGCTGTGGTCTTTTTCAGTGTGGAGGACTATATGGTATGAGTGAAAGCTGGCAGAAGGAAATAAATTGCATAATGACCTTTAGATTGGCTTGCTTGTCTCCGTTTTCTGAGTACAAGCTGCTCTAGTGACCCAAGCCACATAGTGGATGAATTCTAGAGCTGAGACAGCAGGTGGAGGGTCAGGTTGTGAATAAAGGAAACAGTCCAATAGGAGAGCTTGCTGAGCCCCAAGTGGGACGTGACACGAAGACCTCATCACTTCCCAGTGTGAGTAAGGGCTGGCATGCCATTTCCCCTTAAAAATATGCCCTCACTGGTTGAGAAAGACTTAATTAACCTTTATCACAAATAGGCTAACTTTAGTGAGAGGAAGAAATCTATTTCTAATTTCGCTCTCTTCCATATTCATGCACGCTTTCATACTCTGGATGTGTAGATGACAAAAGGTGCCTTGAGTTTCTGACTCCCACATTTTTCCACACCTCTCTGACCCTTCCTAGAGAAATATTGTACATTCTATAGCACTTAAACAGTGTTGTAAAGGACTTGCACTTCCGTAATTTCATTCTACCCTCACAACAATCCACTGAAATGGGATAAATATCATTAATTCCATTTGATAAAGAAAGTGGGGCACAGAACTGGTAATTTGCAGATCAAGAAACAGCTAATTAGAGGCAGAATCAGGATCAGAATTCAGGTTTCCACACTCTCTGGCTGTGGTATTTTCAGGCAGAGTTCAGAAGGCCTCTGTGTAAAAACGGTAGCTTCTCATCTCTGTCTAATGCAGCTTCCAATAAAATGCAAACACATTTTATTCCTTACTCACACCGTGGATGCCTCTGTTAAGTAGGAACAAACCAAAATCAAAGTGGTACCTCAGGGCCACTCAGTGGACTACTTATATTTTGATTCCTCAGTTAACAACAACAAAAAAATGTACTGTGCCCTACTGTGAGTAAGGCTATTGCATTTTTACTGCCTAAGCAAGCAACAGAATCATGAAATCTCAACATTTCAGAAAAGCTCAGTGATGTTAGAGCTAGAAAGCCTGCCTAAGAGAACCCACGTTTGCTGCTCATGAAATGCAAATTTGTACATGCTTGCTCGAGTGCAATTTGGCAGTTTATACAAACAGCCTTCAAATCTGTAACCATACATACAGGGCAGAGTTTGGCTGCTGTGGTAGAAAGGGTAGAAATATGGAGAAAGACTCAGCCCTGAATCCAGGCACACTCCCTAAAGACTAAGTCTGCACCTGCATGAAAGACCCCCGACCCGCAGCACCAGCCTAGCACAGAGTCACAAGCAAGAGTAGTCAACTGCTGAGGTAAGGCAGGAGTGTGGCGAGACTTCCTCTCGGTTGCAGGTGTGCAGAGAAAGCTCAGGGTGGAGCACTAACCCTAAGCAAAATTCTCTGATGCCCCAGCCTCCACCCTAAACAGAAGTCAATGGCAGGCAGCTCTCCACTAGGGGAATCTGAAGCCTGAAAAAAAAAAAAATGTGAACTCAGCTCAACTCCTGCCTGAACAGGCTCCACCTCTCACATTTACAGCACAGAAGAAAAAGTATGAGTATGCTCATTTACAGGCCAAAATATTAGTTAATTCAATCCCTCCCATTACACACAATATCCAGTGTTCTATCTAGCGGGAACAACATGCATGAAAACATAGGGAAAGGCATGAGATTCTTAGCAAAGAGTCAAATGGAAACATTTGATGAGAAAAACTGCAACATCAGAGTGAATTCCTTTCGTGGGCTCCTTAGTAGACCTCACACAGTTGAGGCAAGATTCACTGAACTTAAAGATATGCCCATTTAAGTTATTTAAACTAAAAACATTAAGGAGAAAAAAAGTAGAAAAGAAGGTGCAGAGCATCCAAGAGCTGTGGGATGATATAAAACAGCTCATGAGAGCAGCAGAAGGAGAAGAGACAGAATAGGACAGAAGTCATATTTGAAGAGATAATGATCAAAAATTTTATTGGAGCAATGAAAGGCAGAAAACCACAAATTCAGGAAGCTCAGGAGACACCAGGCAAGATAAGCAATAAACAAACTCTCCAACCAGATACAACAGTCAAATTGCCAACAATGAAATATAAAAGAAAAATCTTGATGGTAGCTCGAGGAAAAAAGATGTAACTCATGCAGAGAACAAAGCTGATAAGTAGAGCGGACTCATCAGGAATTACACAATTCAAAAAAAAAGAAGTGACATCTTTTAATACTGTCAGATGAGAATTCTTCACCCAATGAGAATACCTTTAAAAAATTCAAGGAGCAATAAAGATTTTTTAAGATAAACAAAAGCTAAGAGAATTCATCATCAGCAGACCTGATAAACATACAATGTTAAAAGTTCTTCAGACAGTAGGAATATGATAGTAAATAGAAACTTAGATCTGCACCAAGAAATGAAGGGCTCTGGAAATGGCAAAAAAAAAAAAAAAATGAAGGTAAATAAAAGAGATAACGGATGGTCCAAAGTAAAGACAAAAAAAAAAAAAAAAAAAGGTTGGGTTTATAATACATGCAAAAGTAAAATGCATGACAACAACCACACACATAGATGGGAAGGAGGGATTGGAACTATACTGTTGTCAGGCTCATTTCATATTTGCAAGTATACTGTGATAATAATATAGAAAACATGATATATTACATTTT